ATTCTCCAACGATGATTGAGTCCATTAAGCACCGATTTGGGCGGATTTGTTCCGGGTCAATTTTTGGCAGATTCCAAAGGGATACCATCACAGATTTCGGGCGATTTATCCGAAACGCCATTTTCTTTCGATTCTGGAGGCTGCAGATCACGGAATCAGGCCGAGGCTATCCTCCACCGATAAGGAAGTCTATTGATCCTATTCTCCACGGATGATAAGTCCGTTAAGCATCGATTTGGGCCAATTTATTTTCGATGGCATTTTCGTAATTTCTTGGGCGACGAAAGGCCATTTTCTTTAGATATCGAAGGCTACAGATCACGGATTCGGCCTGAGGCTATTCTCCAACGATGATTGAGTCCATTAAGCACCGATTTGGGCGGATTTGTTCCGGGTCAATTTTTGGCAGATTCCAAAGGGGTACCATCACAGATAGAGGTGGCAAATGGATTGGATTGGTGGATTGGTGGATTGGATTGGTGGATCCATGGATCAAATGGATTGGATCTAATGGATTGGTGGATTCATGGATTGGATCAAGTGGATTGGTGGATTATCCATGAATCCAAATGACATCCTCAACCAATGACCAATATGTAAAATGTAAAAAGTTTAGGTACTAAAATGTCACAATGAAAAATTTTAGGTACCAAAACGTAATTTTCCAATGATATTTTTCGTATAAAAAATAAAATTTTAGGTACCAAAATGTAAAAAATAAAAATTATAGGTACTAAATCGTAATTTGCCAATGATCCATGGATCCAATCCATGAATCCACCAATCCAATTGGATTTGGATCAAATGGATTGGATTTAAATGGATTGGATTAGGTGGATATTTTTAATGGATTGATGGATTGGATTGGTGGATTGGATTGAAATTGCCACCTCTAATCACAGATTTCGGGCGATTTATCCGAAACGCCATTTTCTTTCGATTCTGGAGGCTGCAGATCACGGAATCAGGCCGAGGCTATCCTCCACCGATAAGGAAGTCTATTGATCCTATTCTCCACGGATGATAAGTCCGTTAAGCATCGATTTGGGCCAATTTATTTTCGATGGCATTTTCGTAATTTCTTGGGCGACGAAAGGCCATTTTCTTTAGATATCGAAGGCTACAGATCACGGATTCGGCCTGAGGCTATTCTCCAACGATGATTGAGTCCATTAAGCACCGATTTGGGCGGATTTGTTCCGGGTCAATTTTTGACAGATTCCAAAGGGGTACCATCACAGATTTCGGGCGATTTATCCGAAACGCCATTTTCTTTCGATTCTGGAGGCTGCAGATCACGGAATCAGGCCGAGGCTATCCTCCACCGATAAGGAAGTCTATTGATCCTATTCTCCACGGATGATAAGTCCGTTAAGCATCGATTTGGGCCAATTTATTTTCGATGGCATTTTCGTAATTTCTTGGGCGACGAAAGGCCATTTTCTTTAGATATCGAAGGCTACAGATCACGGATTCGGCCTGAGGCTATTCTCCAACGATGATTGAGTCCATTAAGCACCGATTTGGGCGGATTTGTTCCGGGTCAATTTTTGACAGATTCCAAAGGGGTACCATCACAGATTTCGGGCGATTTATCCGAAACGCCATTTTCTTTCGATTCTGGAGGCTGCAGATCACGGAATCAGGCCGAGGCTATCCTCCACCGATAAGGAAGTCTATTGATCCTATTCTCCACGGATGATAAGTCCGTTAAGCATCGATTTGGGCCAATTTATTTTCGATGGCATTTTCGTAATTTCTTGGGCGACGAAAGGCCATTTTCTTTAGATATCGAAGGCTACAGATCACGGATTCGGCCTGAGGCTATTCTCCAACGATGATTGAGTCCATTAAGCACCGATTTGGGCGGATTTGTTCCGGGTCAATTTTTGGCAGATTCCAAAGGGGTACCATCACAGATTTCGGGCGATTTATCCGAAACGCCATTTTCTTTCGATTCTGGAGGCTGCAGATCACGGAATCAGGCCGAGGCTATCCTCCACCGATAAGGAAGTCTATTGATCCTATTCTCCACGGATGATAAGTCCGTTAAGCATCGATTTGGGCCAATTTATTTTCGATGGCATTTTCGTAATTTCTTGGGCGACGAAAGGCCATTTTCTTTAGATATTGAAGGCTACAGATCACGGATTCGGCCTGAGGCTATTCTCCAACGATGATTGAGTCCATTAAGCACCGATTTGGGCGGATTTGTTCCGGGTCAATTTTTGGCAGATTCCAAAGGGGTACCATCACAGATTTCGGGCGATTTATCCGAAACGCCATTTTCTTTCGATTCTGGAGGCTGCAGATCACGGAATCAGGCCGAGGCTATCCTCCACCGATAAGGAAGTCTATTGATCCTATTCTCCACGGATGATAAGTCCGTTAAGCATCGATTTGGGCCAATTTATTTTCGATGGCATTTTCGTAATTTCTTGGGCGACGAAAGGCCATTTTCTTTAGATATCGAAGGCTACAGATCACGGATTCGGCCTGAGGCTATTCTCCAACGATGATTGAGTCCATTAAGCAACGATTTGGGCGGATTTGTTCCGGGTCAATTTTTGGCAGATTCCAAAGGGGTACCATCACAGATTTCGGGCGATTTATCCGAAACGCCATTTTCTTTCGATTCTGGAGGCTGCAGATCACGGAATCAGGCCGAGGCTATCCTCCACCGATAAGGAAGTCTATTGATCCTATTCTCCACGGATGATAAGTCCGTTAAGCATCGATTTGGGCCAATTTATTTTCGATGGCATTTTCGTAATTTCTTGGGCGACGAAAGGCCATTTTCTTTAGATATCGAAGGCTACAGATCACGGATTCGGCCTGAGGCTATTCTCCAACGATGATTGAGTCCATTAAGCACCGATTTGGGCGGATTTGTTCCGGGTCAATTTTTGGCAGATTCCAAAGGGGTACCATCACAGATTTCGGGCGATTTATCCGAAACGCCATTTTCTTTCGATTCTGGAGGCTGCAGATCACGGAATCAGGCCGAGGCTATCCTCCACCGATAAGGAAGTCTATTGATCCTATTCTCCACGGATGATAAGTCCGTTAAGCATCGATTTGGGCCAATTTATTTTCGATGGCATTTTCGTAATTTCTTGGGCGACGAAAGGCCATTTTCTTTGGATATTGAAGGCTACAGATCACGGATTCGGCCTGAGGCTATTCTCCAACGATGATTGAGTCCATTAAGCACCGATTTGGGCGATTTGTGGTTCTGCTCATGTTCTTGGCTTTGACGCCTAATGCTAGGGATATGACCACTTATACATCTCTGTAAATTTTCCTCACTTGTTCTTTGAACAAAAACGTTGAAGAGCTTGGAATTAGTAGGTCAGAAGCAAAAAGGATCAATCTTTGCCCTTGTTTTGTTTAGACTAGTTAAGATAAAATTCAAGAAGAATACGTATACTTATGAAAAAAAGAGAGAAATTGAAAGATGGTAGGTTTGGAAATTGAGATTTTGTTAAGCTTTCGTTTTCCATTAGTTTATTCAAGGATGAAATTATGTTTATTGCAATATATTTGAGTTTATTAGAAGAAGAAAGTATGAATAAATCATTTCACAAAGTAGCAAGACAATACAATTTACATTACTGTTTAAGGACCATATTTGATCAAGCTAGTTGTTGTCCAAACTAGCAATGGAAGTTTACCCTCTACCTTGATTCGGGAATTTTACGCTGTACTCTGTCAATACAAGTTCACGATATTTTCTTTCGAATAAATGCATTGAATGAATAAATGATTTATTCGAGAACAAGTCATGTCAAAATATTGTGTTTCAAAATATTTTTAATTTCACGATATTCTCTTTCAAGTAAATGCATTGAATGAATAAGTTATTTATTCGAGAACATGTCATGTCAAAATATTGTGTTTCAAAATAGTTTTTTTTATAACAGTGTTTCAAATTACGAATTCTCCATATTATACTTTAAATGATCTTCCAAATCTCTTACAAAGAAGACACTTCCATTGTTCAACATATGGAACTCTTATATCTTGTTCGCCTCTCTAAATATATGTAAAGCGTAAGTTTGAATTCCTTTCTAAAATTGTATTGTGAATACTCGAAACTTATGAGACGCTTTGCTTTAATTGATCATATATATATAAATGTTATCAAGAACATTATTCTAATCCCTACTCATAAGATAGAGACTAATTTTGGAACATTATTAGAATTAGTCTACCAAGAAAGTATGTAATCACCCCATAAATTATAGACTAATCTTTTTATTTAATCCAATTGCTTATGCAACTTGTATGTGTATCACCATTTTTGTTGGTAGTGATGGAGTGATGGCACCAATACCTCCATGTGTCATGTGATGCTTCCCTACTTCTTTTCTCCCAATTGCTTTGATTCCCAATTTGTAGTGTATTGTCGCTTAATAAACTAAAAATCCACATGATTGGATAGGAGATGTCATGAAGATGCAATTAGCAGCCAAAGGGGATGAATGCTTCCTAATTTAGGTATGCAAGTGCAACCCTACCGCATGATACACATCTATCCCAACTTCATCGTGTGACGAATCATGTGGGGTTGAATGAAAGTATGTCATTTGGGTTGACTGTATTTGTAAATGCGATGATTTTTTGAAATAAGTTTCGTTACAACACCTGCAACTCTAGCTTATTGTCCACTCTTACCAAACTCTTCACAAACTATACAAGTTTCTTCCCACACATATGACTTTTTGGGTGTAGATATCTATTCAGACGGAGTCTATATATAATAAGATGAAGTAAAGCACTCCATTAGTAGATAGATAGGAATCAAAATATATCGAATCAATCATCTTGAGTCAAAAATATCCTACCGAATGGAGAGATTATTAGCGAAATGGGAAGACCCTATACTTTTTAGTTTTCATTATAAAACGAATAAATCAGAAAAAGATAGATTATTTTGTACATGTGGCAATTATCCAAATGACTTGAAAAACTCCATGCGCTAATCCATAATATTAGTCACTTGGTCTAATAAGCTTTAAAGTAAGATTACCTAAAAGGCCCGATAAGGGAAAAAAAAGAGGCCGGGCCCAAAACGCGAGAGCATAGTCCATGAGGCCCAATACAACGCTAAACAAAACCCTTTCGGCCGCTCTTCCCAAACCCCGCCGTCGCATCTTCTCATCTCTCTTCCCCATTCCACCGGAGGAAAATCCTTCCCCGCTCTCGCTCCAAATCCGATCAAATGGCGACACTGAAGGAGATTCTGACTCGGCGCCCCGTCGCGGCCACGATCCGACTCACAGTCCCGGCGGGAGGAGCCCGACCGGCGCCGCCCGTCGGTCCGGCGCTCGGGCAATACAGATTGAACCTGATGGCCTTCTGCAAGGACTTCAACGCCCGGACCCAGAAGTACAAGTCGGAAACCCCGATGTCGGTGACGATAACCGCGTTCAAGGACAACACCTTCGAGTTCACCGTCAAGTCGCCGTCGGTCACCTGGTACCTGAAGAAGGCCGCCGGGATCGAGTCCGGCAGCAGCCGCCCCGGCCACGTGGCGGCGTCCTCCGTCACGCTGAAGCACGTCTACGAGATCGCCAAGGTAAAGCAGTCGGATCCTTACTGCCAGTACATGTCGCTCGAGTCCATTTGCAAGTCCGTCATCGGCACCGCCAACACCATGGGGATTAAAGTCGTCAAGGAGTTGGAATGAGAAGATTGGAAAAAATCTGGAATCTTTGTTCTTCAATTCTAGCAAGGATCTGTTTCTGGGTTTCCTTTTGGGTGTGTGTGTTTCCGGTTGTAACCTGTTTTGGACGCACTGAATTGGGACACGATTATAGGAAATCCATGTTTTAGGGTGATGTCTCTCTAATAACAGATGATTCCCCAGTTGGGTTCTTCCAATCATTTAACATGTTCCTATCTGCTGATGAAGCTATTGTACTGTGTTTGCGACATTGCTGAACAAATCGAGCTTTCTTCGCATCGGGTTGATGTGCAATGCTTAGAAGAACGAATGAGCTATGAATTATGATCTGCCCCAGAGGGTTGATATGATCACAGTGTATCTGTCTGTTCTAGTCTCTGTATAAGTTGTTGCATCAGTTAGTCATGTAAAACCAAGCAGAAGTATGGTAGATGATGGTCTAATATGATAAATTCACAGCACCGGAAATCGATACTCAGAATCATAAGAAATGCTGGGTTCACAAACAAGCAATTGGTGACTCTACCTTTAGCCCCTGAAAGGGCATTGGGTTAAAATAATTGCCTCTCCTCCTCCTCCTCATCCCTCATCGCCATGATTTCTTCCAACGTGGAGGATATATGACTGAGTGGAGAGTGGTGCTGCACATACATTGTTGAGTTTCTAAGCTACGAATAAGAGCTCATATTTCCGGAGACGGATAATCTCACAGTTTTATCTATCTGGAAACAATTGGCTCCTCAAGTCCGTGACAATGCCATCGAGGATGCCATCATGTTTGGCTAGGTGGTTGTGTGCTGCCAATTCGCTGTCGAAGACTCGCCCTCGGATGATGTAGCTGGATCCTTCTTTTGTGATGAGACCATATTCGGATGCCAATTCCAAGACCTCTGATACACGGCAGAAGCCTCTTCCAAACTCGATTCCAAGTTCTGCCTTTCTCAATGCAGGCCCCAGCTTGTTCTTCACCACTTCTACACGTACCCCAAGGCCAGTCACCTAATCCATAATTCATCACAATCCAAGTTAATAATTCAGAGAGGAGAATGATTCTATTCTTGAAATCAGGTTGTTTACCGTACGTTGTCCAGGCTTATTAGATGTTGCTTTGTACCTTATCAGCAGTCTTCAGTAATCTCATTCTGTTCATTCTCAATCTCACTGCTGAATAGAATTTCAAGGCCTTTCCCCCACAAGTAACCTCTTCTACATGGCGACGATCTAGTTCGGGTCCCACGCTTGATCTAACCTGAATCGAAGAATGAGACAAGGAAATGTAAAGGGGCTTTCTTTTTCAGGATTATGCACTGCACTTTCACAGCAGAATGAACAAAATGAACCAGACCTGATTAAGGAAAAGGAGAAGAGTTTGAGATTGACACAAAGAATAATGAATCTTTCGTAGAGCTTGATTCATAATGCGAGACTGTCTATCTCCGTCACAGCCTCCTATCATCCCATCGATCTCGTGTTGAGGAACAAGTGCAGCAACCTGTAATAACAACCAGTGAGAAATGACATTGTTTGTATGTTAATAGTTATGTTCTCAGGGTAATGAATTTAAGTAAAAGAGCTGATGACTTACACTATCAACAACGATTACATCGACAGAACCACTTTTGGTCAGTGTATTAACCACACTGAGCATATTTTCAGCAGAATCCGGAGGCGAAATGAGGAGATTATCCGTATCTACACCTACTGCTTCCACAAGTGAACTATCCAATGCATTCTCTACATCAAGATACGCGCAATATCCTGGAAAGAAGCACAATATGACCACTTTACATTGGAGTGTACTAGATTAAAGACAGTTAAATGGGAGTGACATGATTCACTTGCATAATAAGTAATAGGAATGGCAGTAGTGGTTGAACCTCCACGCTTTTGGGCTTCCTTGATAACATGAAGAGCAAGTGTCGTCTTTCCAGAAGCCTCCTGCCCATATATCTCAACCATTCTTCCCTGAAAAGACAGCAGTAAGAGGTTCTAGAAAGTTGATTGTCAAGTTCTCATTATTGAAAGCTGCAACTTTTCATGGCAACTAAAGTACTTCTATGCTCCTGAGTAATCACAGAAGTGATGCTGACTACAGAGACACATATATCCCATTGCGCGTTAGTTCAATCACCTTGGGCAATCCTCCAACTCCAAGTGCTATGTCCAGCTTCAATGAACCAGTAGAGACCACTGGTGCACTCCGAGAACCGAAAAACTGCTGCATGTACGACATAGAGTCGCTGCTGCTATCTCCACCACCACCGAGCTGCGAAAGAGCCAGACGGAGTGCAGAATGCTTTTCTGCTGCTCTGCCATCATCGGGAACTTCATCAAATTCGAACTCCCCAGCTGCCAAAAACCCATCCAATTCACTTCCATAAAAACCCCCAAAAGGAAGAAAAGATTACTCAGCTGCAGAATCACCACTAATCTTGTTACCTAGAGAACACAAATGCACGGAAGCTCTCCGCCGAAGGCCAGGAATCAATTCTCTTCTTCCATCCTAACATGGTAAAGGGCAGAAAAAGTGAAAATACAGCAGCACACTGGTAGCTAACTAGCTATTGAAGCAATCAAAATCCAGCTACACTATCTGACCCTCAACTTCGCAGCAGAATGAAAGATTTCAACTTTAAATAACCCAGAAAAGAACAAGACAGACCCATGAATCCCCCTTGAATTGGCTGTGTCGGGAAAAAATTGCAGGGTTAGAAACAGAGCGAGACTGGAAGCAACCTGTGACAGCGCGAAGCGGTGGTAGAGTGGGTAGAAGCGAGACCTTCCGAGGGAGTTCAAACGAATTGCAGGAATGAGTCCCGCCATTTGTTAGCGTGGGTTTCCTGGTTTTTTTGGTGGTTGAGGTATTCAAATTTTGGAGGCTAAGAACGCGAGGTAGGCGGCGGTCGGCGGTTAATCACCTCCGACCAGCATCCAGCTTATATAATTATTACTGATTTGGTCATCCAATTTTCCTTGTTGTGTTATAATAGTACTCTACTTTTGCCCTCCTCCAATCCTCCGTAACTGGGCTGTCAGTTTGATGGGCCTTGGCCTTCCATCCTTGGGCTGTCATTCATATTTCTCCTCGACAGGCCCAGCCCATGGAGCGCCACGTTTACGAAACTCCGAGCACAGATTTTTGCGGTGGTGTCCTCCCATGGCGGCGGCGTCAAAACCAGAGCAGAGCTAAAATTTACACCTTATACAATCTGAAAGGAAGCAGCCGTGCAGGGAAGGCAGGAATCGACTCTTTTCTGGTATGTGTGTTCCTTTCGCTTCTGGTTATTGTATTCAACTCCCAGCTTCGTAACTGTGAACTCTGGAAATCATCTAATGGAGGGTTTTCTCAATTTCTCCAAGCTGAGAATTTCTCAATCCGTAGACTGGAGTTCGAAGCTTCTTGGCAATTTGAAGGAGGGTAATTTCATAGAGTCAATAGGAGTTTGAATTGCCCATTATGGAAAAGAAGTCGCCTGAACATTTTCCTGGTACCTATTAGGGGGGAAGAATTTCAGTTTCTATGCTTAGTAAATTGCTATTTGCCTGAACTTCTAATCCCTCTTCTCATGATCCTGTGTATTGGCTGGGATTTTGATTATCTTGCAGATGTGGATGTTATGGACGAGAAGACGGGACCAAATGTTCACAGTCATGGTGTGGAGGAAGGTTCAGCTCCCCCTGAAAGTAATGAATACTACTCTTCTGGAGAAGTAAACATGGAGGCTGCTATATCAACTGACGATGTCATTCGAGCTGGAGGATTTGGAGCTAGAGATGATATAGGTAGCCTTCTTCCTGTTGCTAGTGACTCGACCGACTTCGAGGCGATGATCCTTAATGCTAAGGACTACGAAGGGCCACAGGCGGAACAACGAAGACCTGGCCTTGGATGGAAAGATGCATCTGAAGGAGAAAAATCGTCTTCTGTTCCCTAATCTGTGAGTTGTCTTTAGTTAGTTCTATCTTTCTTCCTTCTGGGACTTTGTGGCATGTGGGCATATCTAGTTGGTTATCTTGTTGTACAAGCTATAAACTGAGGGCTTGTCTGGTGGAAGCAATAGTTTACTTGTAATCAGCTTTAATACACTGTGAATTGTGATGTACTGGAATTGAAGCTCACTTTTCTAGTGAAGCTTATACCACAATGTCTTCTATACATGGACCCTTTTGTTAAACATGATCAGGTTAATTAGTGAAACCGTCTTGTTTTCGGTTATTCCCACTGTTCTGTCCTAATAGTGAGCTCTGTGGAATAAAACCTACTACATAAGATTTGGCCTGTAATCATTTACAAACTAGCTTTAGGTAATTACTGCTTCATGTATTCTTCAAGAGCCCCTCAGTGATGGTTTGCTCTTGGATTTGGTATTGCCTCTTGAAGATCCTGTGCCCAGGTGCTAGGATTGCCAAAGGATCGTAAGTCAATTTTCTCTTTAGAAAAACTTCCCATTTGGACCCAAAGTGAGCCTTCCAGTCTTCCTGGGTGGTGTAATGAGGCAAGTATTGCTTCAACACTATGCCGGCACCCGAACTGAAGTCTAGTATTCGTTGGTTTCGTGCTAAAATGTAGTCCAGCCCATCTTCTCCTGTGGAAAATGGCACTGCCGATGCCAAGAACGAGACATGGTAAATAACATCTTCTCTAGGTGTGACTAATGATGTTCTCTTGATGTTGTTCCACCTGAAAATTCAAATGTACGAGCATAACTTGATTAGGTGATTTTTTTTTAATTTGTTTGTTGAAATTGATCATATTGATGAGAAAGAATCAAGTACTTGGACTGGTTGAGTGGATAAATGAGGATTGGACCATTGCTACTGTCTGTGACAATGCTGCCAAACACCTCACTTGCAAACTGAGCCATCTTGCTTCCTGGAATGAGTAGGCTTAGCCATGGATGTGGAACTTCCCATAAACCCTGTTCTCTGAGTTTCATCTCAGCGACATGGACTCTGTCCAGAAAGCCGACGTAGGATACTTCAGAGATGAAAAGGGTGGATGGAATGAAATGCAGATTTGACAGCAGGCCTTGGATTTGCTGCAACAGATGGAGGGTACAAATCCAGTTTAGTGATAAAGAAATTAGCTTTACGTTTCGTGTTATTCTCCTGAGAATGAATGAACATACCATGTCGACGGTTTCAGTGTTGTCGTCCTGTATGCTGAAGTACTTGGCGACTTCAAGGCAGTAGAGGGTTTTCCCATCTGAAACGAACTGGCTGGCTTGAACTGGGTCCTTGGGATGGAAAGAGGATCTCCAGTTGTTAAGGAGGCCTGTTCGGTTTATGATCACGAATCCTTCGATGTAGTCGAACGATTCCTCAAGTGATATCAGATGTTCTTGGTCACTGGAAAACTGGGAGAAATCCGAGTACAGAACTCGGATCCATTTCACCTACAGAACCACCAGAAAGATCGAATTCAGTTTCGACCTGGTATGGTGCCTTCTTTACTCATTTTCCATCTTTAATGGAAGTTAAGGAAAGTTACCATGTTTGGTGCTGGCTCAAGAGCGATTCTTGCTCGAGTTATGACCCCAAACTGTCCCAGCCCTCCAAGCACACTGAAGAACAGCTCTGCATTCTGCTTCTCAGAACAGGTAACCACCTCCCCTGTACCTAATAAAAGTTTTTCATCAACCAAATCAGCACCAGCTGAAGATCATAGTTAACTAGACTGACCGGCTAAACCGTTTCGATTTCCATTACATGGGTTCACAGGTCAGCTTCCTGTTCTCACTCTTCCTTCTAAAATAAAGATATACTGATAAAAACAACTCGGTATTTACGTCCCTCTATTCGCTACCACAAATAGAAACAGAGCAGGTGTGTTCTTATGTAATGCTACGTATGCACACAGTAGACTACAGAGCCTATGTGTACCTGTAACGACCTCCAGTTGTTGAACGTTACTGATCTGGGGACCATGCCGGAATGCCTGGCCGCTGATCCCGCCGTTCGACAGCGTCCCTCCGACGGTGAGATGCAAGTAATCCGTCCACGATTTCGGCGTCAGCCCATGCTTCACCGTCTCCTTCAGAACATCGATCCAAAGCTCGCCACCCGACACATCCACGTATCTGCCGCCACCATCACCACCACCACGACGCGGTCGAATCAGGGACTCCATGTTGATTACAACCCCGCCGTCAGCCTGCGCTTGGCCCTGCAGGGAATGGCCGTGTCCTCTGGCGGCCACGGTTCCGGCACCCATTTCGTAGACGTGCTTCACCGTGGAGGCAATGTCGGAGACCGATTTCGGGTGGAGGACGGCGGCTGGGCGGAAGAAGAACCTGTTGCCGAAGTCCCTCGAGGCGTGTGCGTTGTTTTTGTAGCTGAAGTAACCGTCGAGGTTCAGTGTCTCCAAGGCGGAGCGAGGTTGTGATGGTGAGAAGATCAGTTGGTGGTGGTTTTGGTTGGTGGAGCAGAGTTTGGATTCGTGTGGTGTGTGGCAGAGCAACATGATCATGAGGAATCTGAGGTGCAGAATGGTGAATTTGTTGGCTTGTTGGAAGGTTGATGATGATGATGATGATGATGCCATTTTTGTGGGTTGGGAGGGGTAAAACAGAGGGAAGTTCGAATGGAACAGAGATTTTGAGAAGTTTGGAGTGGGGAAGTAGTAGAGAGGGAGGGAAATTTAAAGGGGGAAGGGCTACCTCCATTGAAACAGGTTTTGGGTACGGTAGGTTTTCCTACATTGATTTCGAAATAATAATCGTTGTCATCAAAATATAATCAAAATGTCATATGAAATGTTAGAGAATTCATACTGGAGAAAACGTATTCGTACAATATGTAAGATCGAGTTCATGAGAAGTCATTGAAGATCAAAATTAACAATCAACTAACGAGCTATGCAATATTTGTCGAATAATTTAAAATTCTGAACATAGTTATGTTATTTATAAATATGCAAAATAATTATCTTCCCATCTAAAGGTTAAAGTAAACTCAATATTGATGGAGCGCCATGTTGAGGTTAGGGAATGTTATAATAATTTTTCAATTTCCAAATTAAGTTAGAAATATGTACAAAAGCGATAATAAATTTGTGAAATATGTATATATTCGTTGGTAAGGATTTTAGCCCTGTAGTACATGATTCAATCTCTCAAGCTTAAATTCTTGAACTCTTTGCTCGAATTTCTGACTCGACCACTACTTATACCATAACTAATAGTGTAGTGTTTTTTGAAGCTAGAAACCTAGCATTTTTATCTTTATCGTTAGGTAAATGGTTACATATAATATACTGAAGTTGAGTATAAATAAATTAAAATACGTGACATATATATATATGTATGGATAGAGTACGTGGCTTCTACAATGTGTATAGTAAATAATAGAAGCTGTTTATGGGTTCCACCCGGAAATACTCGTTGGTGTGTTAGTGTAATGCATGCACTTTCGTACTTCTAAACTCTAAAGTAGTGATATCTTTTTGGTATGTTTATAATGACTTTTCAAAACTTCAAGTAGTGTTGAGGTGGAGTCTGGTGAACAAATAAAGTCGATTGATACTCAGGAATCGATTTATCGATCGATATATAGTGATATTATATTGTATATGCTTTGCGTGGTTTGTACCAGTCTATGGAGCTTTTTCATAGGCCCATCTGGTTCAGAGGTAGATGTGGTAGACGAAAAATCAGTAGAGCACTGTATAATATGGCATATGAAGATCGACCGAAACATAGAACGATTGATCTTTCCGTTGAATAGATCGAAGCGATTTCAAGGTTCGATGTCTGCATGACCTACAGTTTTCCCGTCATGATCATGTGCATGTCCATAAGTTTATTTGGATGAGAGATGGTGCACTACCCATTAACCCGTCACAAAAACCCATTGGTCATCGATGAATTTTCGTCCCAGATAACGAGATAAGACTTTAACTCGAGAGAGTATCATTCCGACCTCATCCTTCGGCGATTTCTCAAAGGGTGACACGAGGAGCTAACCAACCGATCTAGCTCATCCCCCAAAAGCTTGTGCATAAGTTGCTAGGCTAAGTCATTACAAGATCTCCATGTCCCTCTTTGGGAGTAAATCCTTACGTGGAAAGGAAAGGAAGGATGATGTAGATAAAGGGTAAAGAAAATAGCTGAGTATACCTAACCTGTCGACTTCTGTGAAAGTGTGAAGGCTACAGTCGACACCAAAGATGGCTTCTGTCTTGCAACCTTTATTTAGAAATTGTTGCTACTAAGAGAAATGGCGATGTTCTTCCTTTTCACCCCAAGGAAAAAGGGCATGAAAATCGATGGTGGTTTCTGTCCCTTTTCTACTTCACTAAGCTGCTGCTGCCAAGTTTACATGTACTTTCACTACTGCAGTGAAAAAGTGATAGGACTAAGTAGTCTTGTGTGTTGGTTTTCCACACACACAAGCCGGCCCACATTCTTTCTTTTCTTCCACTTCTCTTAGGCAGTTAGGTTAAGAAACTTTGTTATCGTAAAAAGTACATATTTGCGTGTATTTATTCAAATAATATATAAGAATTGATCGATCCGTTTTGACCCGTAGTAGCATCGGGCAAGACATGAGTATTGAGATACCCGTTCCGCCCAATTGCCATCACTATGTTGGGCATTAACAATTAGACAATTAAGACGAAAATTTAATAACATTATAAGGAAGTCATCAAGAACTATCTCGTCTCGACTCTCGACTCTCGACCCATGAACTTAAACCTTTTGAGGGTTTAAAAGAGAGTTCAATCCAGACCCGATAAGAGATCTAGACAACAAATCTTACATATTCCCTTACAGATATCTAGCACAATTATGTATCAATTATCGACCAAACCTATCATTAGAGTGCCAAGAACTAGTCGATTTAACTCCGAATTGCTGATAGAGGTTCAAATTATGGATCACATACCCTTTATTAACAAACCCCCTCAAGCAAAAGCCAGCTCAGAAGGAATGAAAGTTTGCAAATGCATCAAAATACCATGCGCACAACAAATGAGGTCACCGGGATTCGAACAGAAAACCTCTCGGTTAAAGAAGGCTCCGATACAACGTCAAAGACGAATTGGTCACAATAACTCAACCTGGTTGAAAGATGTTCAAATCATGAATCGTATACCGGCCACTCATTAACATTGATGAGCACCACATCCACATGTAGCCAATTTCATATTCATCATTAGCATACCAACCAAGGAAATGAGTTTCTCTAATCTCTTCCACTAATTGGAAAAAATGATAGTACACATATGCACATAGTGGATCCTACCTTCAAAATCCTAATAAGTGCAACACTAACAAAGGTGATGCATGCAACCCATTACTCTCTCTCTCTCTCTCTCTCTCTCTAGCCTACAAAGTTGTGTTTGTGTGCCCATGCATGTGCAATATCTGGCGCCAGAAAGCAGCAGCAGATTTTGAGGGGGTTGGCCGGCCCCTACCAAAGCTCTCCTTCTTCCTCTGCTCTTCTTTCTGCTTCCAAGAAAGAAGTCGTCATTTTCGTCAAGCAGCTAGCCACTCATGTAAAGGCCGTGCAACACAGTGGGATTTGACAAACCCTAAACCCCATCTATGACAAGACTGAGAAGAGAAAGTTCACCCCCTTCTGTTGTTGAACAATATTCCCACGGGAGGGAGAGAGTGACCTTTGTGTGTAGAGGTTGCACCATAACACACATCTTCACCATATACTTACTCACAATGCACCAAAGTTTAGGACCATGATCCTAGGCTAGCTAGGTAGCGGTGGGTTGCGGTCCGAAGTTATCTAGGACCATGATCCTAGATAACTTCAGAAAAGTAATCATCCGACCCTCAAAGTAGGTATATATGTCAGAATAGAGTCACCAACAATTAATGTTAACGGTAGTGATGGTAGATTTAGCTAGTATTCACGTGTAATAGTCAAATGGGTATGTCATACAGGGTTACATCGATCTTGATAAGTGGCGGAGGACTTAACACTCAGGTTTTAGCTACGTATATGTAGATAAGTCACAACAAGATCACTAATAAGAGAAATCATGTGCGATCGACAAATGTTAACGATCCACTTGAGAGTTGGTAACATTCGACACCTTGAAATTTGAGCATGACAATCTAGCTGGTTCGAAAAATCAAGCCATTGTAATTTGAAGGGGACAAAATTGAGGCTTACATTAGGGTTTCATCTTTCTTTTGATGCGCAAGTCATCTCATAAAGTGGCGGGCTCCATGTAGTACGTTGGTCTCATTATCCCCTGGACATTGCCGGCCTAACCCACGTGGCTGCTTTGACAATATGGCTAGCTCTTCAGCACATAGATCGAATGATCGTGGATCGCGGAATTCACGATCCAACGATCATTAGCGTGTTAGTATGTGTGTCCTAACATGTGAGTATGAGGATCGTACTGTGAATCGAGGCTATGTAAGCTTCATTCAAGTATGGTCGGTTCATATGTACATGCTTAGTGGGAGCATGTATTTTGATATATCATAATTAGTTATTATTGTGATATAACAAAATATGCACTCGAACATGAAGTCTAGCTAATTGAATTGCTTCATTCTTTATTAAAACTTATATGAATTGCAACCCTAGCTAGTAAATGGTACAAGATCATAATTGAACTTCTCTCAACAACTCTAGTTGTTAGGACCAATTAACTCGTCATTAACATGCTATCAGAGTCTTTGATTGGCGACAGTTATTGTTTTTGAATCTCGACGACCCTCATTTGTTAAGTAAATGGTATTTGCAGCTGTGCAAACTTCAATCCCGTATGAGTCAGTTGGCTTCCCCCTCACCCACAGATAGGAGAATGGTGATGATTATGTCACTGACCCATGATTTGGAGTGGCAGAGGAGAGGAGTAGGGAGGACGATGACAGTTTGAATGTGGGAAACACACTAACATCTTCACCCAATCACCTTGAAGGGATTATTGCTTTCTGGTCTTTAGATTCTAGCAGATGTGATGTCCCTAAAGAAAAGAATAGTCCTTAAATTCTTGGTGGCTCTTGAGAAATAGAAGGGTTTAGGACAACTATTAAATATTCTAATAATCTCTATTGTTAAAGGTTGGTTGGATCCTTCTGTTCGACCTGAAATCACCAAACCTTATGCGATCCGGTTAGTCCCATATTGGAATAGCTTATGTCAGCTCGGCTTATAGCTTGTTTTGACGGTTATCTGCCAAACCATCCGTTTGTGGCACAATGTTCTTTAAAATTCCTTTTAAGAGGAAAAATAATATTCTTTGTTTGAACTTTGATTTTGATATCTCAGTGACGACCCGAATATCATGACCAAATAGGGTACTTGCATTCCGTATTGCTTTCTGTTTGAGCCTAGAATGTTCTAGGCGGTCTTGAGAGGAACGAGCGATGCGTCTGTTCTAGAGGATGGGGTACTCCAATACTCCTGCAAAACAAGGGTCCTTGGGCGGTCGCCCTGGACACCCTCCGATGCTTAAGTTAGAGATGGAATGGAGAATTTGTGTTTATGGTTAGAGAGAGAGAGAGTAGTTGGTTTACCATCAATGCAGATATGAATGTATTTATAGTGATCTGGTCTGGGTTTCGGGCATTAAATGCCATTGTCAGGCGTCCTAGATCGACCCTTCTTTATCTAGACCGCCTACGGCGGGCAATTAAT